TAAACACTAATGACTCAGGTAAATACTCAGGTAAACATTAATGACTCAGGTAAACACTAATGACTCGGGTAAATACTCGGGTAAACATTAATGACTCAGGTAAACACTAATTACTCAGGTAAACACTAATGACTCAGGTAAATACTAATGACTCAGGTAAACACTAATGACTCAGGTAAGGGTTGAGTGTATTAAGCCCTGAATTCTTTATACCTATGACCTCTTCAACACATAACTTGGTATGAAATTTTTCGAGCGTTTTTTTCCCTCAATAAAAAAATTCTTCAACTCTGGGTCATAAATATTAATGTTGAAGTATAATTAAATAGACTCGGTGTGATTCTATAGTCTTGATTGGCGATGGTGCGTCTGGCGTTGCTGAATGAAATGAGATAATATTCAGTGTGGTTTAAGTCTCAGTTCTCGCCTAGACACTGGAGTCAATATTAATGCCATGGCTTGTGTGTGTGTGTGTGTGTGTGTGTGTGTGTGTAGGTTAAGTCAGGTCATAGGTTGTTAGGCACGACCTTTCCCTCTACCTATTGTCACCTGCCGTAGTGAATGAAATCCCATTGACCTAGAAACACGAATCCCCCATCCCATCTCCCTCCCCCATGGCCAAGATGGGAGAGAGAGTGTGACGGGAGTTAACCTTAACCCATTTCAATATCATTAACTGGGGCTCGAACCCTGAACATTCAAATCCAAGGCCAGAAGACGTACCACTCGGCCAAGGGGTCAGGTTTAAAGCTCATCTCTTCGTCGAGGTGAGGTGAGGTGAGGTGCTGTTGAATTGAAGTGAATGTGAGGGTACTGGTAGGATGGTTCAGTGGGTCGAAGATTAACCTCTTTAGTACGATGACTTAACCCCTTGAGTACGAGGACTTAACCTTTTGAGTACGATGATTTAACCCATGAGGATAATAACTTAACCCCTTGAGTACAATGATTTAACCCCTTGAGTACGATGATTTAACCCCTTGAGTACAATGATTTAACCCCTTGAGTACGATAACTTAACCCCTTGAGTACAATGATTTAACCCCTTGAGTACGATGATTTAACCCCTTGAGGACGATGATTTAACCCCTTGAGTGCGATAACTTAACCCCTTGACTACAATAGCTTAACCCCTTGAGTACGATGACTTAACCCCTTGAGTACGATGATTTAACCCCTTGATTACGATTACTTAAACCCATAACTACGACGACTTAACCCCTATATCGCTCTTGTTTACGATCTCTTGTGGCTCAGGAGGGACATGGGCTACTGTAAGACCTCAAACTATTGGCAGAGTAGTTAACCCCTATTCTTAGAGAGTCGCGGGGTTAAGATTTTTCAAGGATTATCTTTTTGGTCCGGTTAAGAATATTTGGTCTATCTTCGTGGGGGTATCGTTGTGTGTCCTGGGGAAGAAAACGATGGTGGCATCAACTCTAAATACCGTCGATAATATCCTCCATTCTCCTCCTCGTCAGGGTCATTGGTAGAGGGGATCGCCTCACATGTCATCGGCCATCTTCAGTTAGGGTACAATGGTCCTTACAGCCCTGGTCCACGTCGACAGTCATTCTGAAGTACAGTAAATGTGACAGTAATACGAGGTCTTGAGAACGCTTTCATCTTGATCAAACTGTTAGACTAAGCTTCCTCAGCTTTCTGTCCTTCGTCTCAGCTGGGTTTCACACTGATCCACAACTAGTGTTCGAGAAAGGATGAAGTCATTTGTGTGGAAGGCGTCCATTACGAGACCTCGCTCGCTCCAATCCTTTTTCACTTAGCGATGGCGAAAGTTACTGACAGTTTTTTTTCCCTTGAACTCCACATCTGGTTCTTAAACGATGGCGCGTTGTTAAGTATGATAGAGTGTTAACTGGGGAGCTCCACCGGGCGAAGAGGAAGGAAGTAACACAAAGTCTCTCTCAGTTCATTACAGACTGAGTGAAAGTTATCTCGCCGGGAATCATAACCGGTGAACTTCTCAAGACAATGTTCACATAAGCTGTGAACTACTTAAACAACACTCAACCAATTATCAACAGAGACGTCCAAAACATCAGAGTTATGGTGGGGTTACTTCGCACCAGGTTCACCAAGGGATCGAGCCGGTGGGATACAATAACAACCCAAAGAGTCAGACCAGCGCCCCCAGTGAGAGGATTATTTAACCTTTGATTGAACTGAGTACTGCGAGAGGCCGCCCCCCCCCAAGCCGTGAGTGTTGGAGACTTACTAGTACCCATCCCAGACTCTCCCTGAGGTCCACGTCACTCCATGATGGTATAACCTTCTCCCTTCCCAACCTTCTCTACACAGAATATAAACGAATCTACAGTACCGTGGTGTTCAGAGTTCCCAGGCCTTCAGGTGTGGTATCTTTGGGGGCGAGGACGAGAGGCTAGGGGCGAGGACGAGAGGCGAGGGGCGAGGACGAGAGACGAGGGCGGAGGGTTGAAGCTTACCTACAAGACTCAACCAACTAAACATCTTCATTAATAGACGCCACACCACACATCCCAGGGTAAAGAGAACCTCACTTTATATTTCCTGATAACTAACAAACACTCATAAAGGGACATACTACCGATATTACCGCCACCAGGTGAGAAAATCCACCTCAGACTGTATAGCCTCAAGGACTCCCGGGGGGAATAAATACACTGTAATGCTCTTATGACTATTGCTTCTCTTCAGTTGACTCGGTGACTCTTGGCTCCTGTGGTGATATTATAATGAACTCTTGACTCTTAGTGTATTCTTTAGTCACGTCATCTCCTTCCTCCCTCTCGTGTTATCACCAGGAGGAAGAGTCTTGTCTACCATCATATGATCAAGACTCCATGTTTCCTCTCCTCATTTCACGTATTGATTTCAAGCGGTATCTCTTCTAAACGTCTTCAGGCCCGATAGAATATGCTCCTACTTTTACCCGCTTGCTTTCACCTGCTTGCTTTCACATATAAACTGGTATTGTGTGAAGATGTTATCCGGGCCGAGAAAATATATTCATGTTTTCGTTTTCTTTTTGCTTTCATTTGTTTGCTTTCACGTGTTTGTTTGTAAACTTTCTCCGGAGTGTCTAATGGGCCTAGAAAATTTGCTTTGTTTTCGTTTGTTTGCTTTTAATTATCTGTCTTCTCCTGTTTGTCATCGTAACTGAATTTATCGTGTTTTATGTGCCTTTGCTTTTACTAGTTGTATGTATGTATAGGTATTTGATATGTTAGATTGATATATTAACATTTATTCGGTAATATTGTCATACGGGTTAATTTGATTCATTATGTATATAGCTAATGTTTGTATACAAATTCTCAGCCCGTGTAAACAACTATAACATAAATTCGGGACCAATTGTATTGAAATTTGGTGTATATTTGCCTTAGATTTTTTTTCGTTCACCTATTGTGATTCCAGCCCGTGATCGTCTTTTGTTTTTGGACCAATCGTATTGAAATTTGGTTTATAAGTGATTTGATTTGATTCATTCGTCTATTGCGATTCCAGCCCGTGATCGTCTTTTGTTTTTGGACCAATCGTATTGAAATTTGGTTTATAAGTGATTTGATTTGATTCATTCGTCTATTGTGATTCCAGCCCGTGATCGTCTTTTGTTTTAGACTAATCATATTGAAATTTGGTTTATAAGTGATTGGATTTGATTCATTCGTCTATTGCGATTCCAGCCCGTGATCGTCTTTTGTTTTGGACTAATCATATTGAGATTTAATGTATAAATGATTTGATTTTGTTTTGTTCGTCTATTATAATACAAGCTCGTGATCTTCTTGTTTTTATCAGTTTACTAGGCGTTCTCGGGAGGGGGGGATCGTCATGTTTATTATCTCTCATAAGAGCCCTCTTTCTCAAAACTCCTATAAAACATTAACTGCCTCATTTCTCCTTATTATCATTAATATTTATCAAATTTTATCCCTAATTGAATCCTGTGTGACAAGTTATTACACAAACAAAGCGGCAGAGTTTGGAATTTGTATACTAGTGTTTCAGTGAAGGTGACAAGATGAAAATGTCAAAGGCTATCGTAATATGCTGCCGTGTAACCTCATTTAACGGACCGCTATTTAATGTATAGAGTCCGTTAAATAGAGGTTTTAAATCTAACAGGCCCTCGATATAACGGACTTCTCCATATATTCCGTTAATTGGAGGTTTTACACAACGGGTCCTACATAACGGATTTTCCTCTATATAGTCCGTTATTTGGAAGTTTCACAGCTAATGAACACTCGATCTAACGGACACCCTTCTCCAGATCGTCCGTTATTTGGAGGATTTATTTTTACGTCTTATTCTTTTTTTTTTAGACCAAATCTAGAATACGACTGGACAAAAGTACTCAATGACAACCTCTCTCTCTCTCTCTCTCTCTCTCTCTCTCTCTCTCTCTCTCATTATGGTCCACCTAATCATTGTCAACACTGCCCACACACACGCCAGAGATTCCTACCTTGATGAAAACTCGAAGACGCGAAGTAATTACGAAAGAGAACCATTAAAGAAGAGAAGATAAATAGAGAACTGATAAGAGGGGAGGAAGAGATAGACAAAGATAAGAGATAATGTGTGTGTGTTGATATTAGGAGTTAGTGAAGTATAGAGGGTGATTAAAGTACCGTATGGAATTACTGGGAGGAAGGGAGATAGTGAATGAATGTTAAAGTGGAAGAGGGTTGATAAACGTGTAATAAGTGGAATATAAAACAGAATGACTGGAAAGAAGGTAAATTTGATACACATTATGGAAGGGGGAATTGATGATGGAATGATAAAATAGGAAATGATAGAGAATTATTAAAGTAGAATAAAGGCGACAATAACGAAAGTATTTACAAAAAGAAAGCGAATAACGACTAAATATAATGACAAAAAAACTCAAAAAAGGCATCAGCTGTTTTTATTTATGCGATGTAAACAATGCCCCTCTTCCCTCCCCCCCCCCCACCCCCCCAGGACGTCTGAGCTCTAATACTAACCTGGTGTACTGTAGTGGGTGTTGGCATCTTGAGAGCGGGTGTACTTGGTGCTGGTCTTCTGGTGTCTGGTGTACTCGGGCTGGGTGTAATGGATCTGTGTTGAGGGTGTCGACTGTAGGGTGCTGGTGGGTCCCTGGGTCGTAGGGAGGGGGTATTGAACTGGTCTACTGGAGGGGTTGTGTACTCCTGAGGGTGTTTTATGGTGGTGGGCGTGGCCAGCAGTATGTTCCACAAGACCCACTTTCTCTAAGGAGCCCATAGTGTGCTGGTATAGTAAGGAGTCCCTCTTGTGGACGCTCGGGGACATGGCTGGGGATCCTTCCTCGTCGCTCTTAAGGGAAAGTTGTGGTGTAGAGGGGGAAGGTGGGTCTTCGTCAGGGTGTTGGTGGGAGCGTAAAGAGGGACTGGGCGAGATTAAAGGTGACACACAGGACCATGAGTCAGTGCTACACCCTGACCAAAGTTCCTCCTCTTCCCTCCGCGAGTCTCTCCAGTGTTTACTACTACCCCTCGATGTTCTACTCTCATTATCTGAAGAATAAGGACTTGGGTCTCGGCTGCGCGCACCTTCGCCGCTCACTGAACTTAAACTTGGACTGGCCAAAGGTCTGGATATCTTAGCCTTATGTATACTGACGGGACTTTCCGGGCCGTCCGGATGTTTATATGTTCTTTTGTTATCACACGTCATTCCCTGACGCGTTGTAGTGGGGCTGTCTGCCTTACTTTTATTTTCCTTGTCTTTTTTACGGCCAAAAGTTGGCAGTTTGGTGCGAAACCTCTTCTTCTCCTTCTCTGGGTTTGGTTGTTGTTTATTTGGGTTGCCTGGCAGTTTTTCCTCGTTTGAGTCAACATCTGAGAACTCAAAAATATTGAAGTCAGGCGCTCGTTTTATTGTGTTGTATTTCCATGAGTCAGAGAGCCAGACGGTGGTGTGGGGTGAGTCACAGGGAGGATGGCAGGTGCCAGGCTCCGTGACGTCAACACCTCCGGGCAGCCCCGCGGCGGCCTCCTCCTCATTAGGACTCGCTCTCAAGTTCTCGTAAATCATCTCCTCATTTTGGGTTTGCCAAGTTGGGGAAAAGTTTTGGTATATGGGAATATTTGGGGTGATGGGGTGAGAAGGGTAGCCTTTGAAGGTGGTGGTGGTGGTGCGCAGTGGGGTCTCTTCAGGCGACAGATTCTGCTTCAGTAGCCTAGGTGGGTGGAAGAGGAACTTTTATTCTTCTTTGCCAGGTGAAAATATCAAACATAAAGCTTTTTATCAAGGCATTCCTATAGCTCTAGGGTTCAGCAAAAATTAGTTGTATTCTTTATAGTGGGGCGTAATATTTACCTTCTCTGGTTAGAGGAGTTCATATCAATGATCCTGTGATTTATCACGTTGTTTCTTGGTAGTGGTATTGGCCCCTTGACTCTGTGTGAGTCCCGGGTTGTCCCGCTCACTGCTTGTTGTTGTTTATCCTGGGGTGACGTAGGCGAGGTGCGCACGGCCGGGAGGTGCTTGCTGGGCCGCCCGTTACCCGTCGTATTTTTCTGGTGTGTGGAGGTGCTGAGGGGGATCCTGTGCAGCGTGGGGGTGGGGGAACGGTTTGATCTGAGGGGCCTGGTGCCCACGTACCTGCCAGACTCTGTGGTAGCTAGTGCCAGGGTCGTCCTCGAGGCGTGGTCGCTCTTGTTGTCGTCGCAAGACTTTGCCGATGTTCCTTTGTTCTTGCTTGTCCTCGAGTGTGGTCGAGGGATCCCCGACTGGTCATTTTTGGCCGCCGTCAGCTTGTCGACGGAGGCTGGCTCTTGTGTGTCCTTGGGCTGCGTGGTGACGGTGGAGGAGGTGTCGAAGCAGCTGGGAGTCCTGGGGCCGCGCCTGAAGCGGCCGACCCCTGCTGTAGGCACCATCACCCCACACGGACACACCACCATGCTTAACACCGTCCTAACACACACTACAGGTCTCTCGGGTAAAGCTTCAGTGACTAGAGCTTCCACTATTTTTCGCTGACTTTAACTTCAAGCCATGAAAAATACATTGGTTAAATCACACGAGAAGGTTGTTACTTGATCGCGGTACAGTGTGCCAACCGTGTAGCGAGGCAGAGCGATACTGAGTAGGCACCTCGGAGGGAGTAAGTTTATATGCGGGTGAGCTCTCTGGAATCACGTGGACTGGACGCCAGAACGCAGACTCAGTTGGGACTGCCGCGGCCTGACCGAGACAACTAGACTACATTATGACTCATCCCACCTCAGTGTTTTAGAGGACTATCTCTCGATGAGTGTGACCCATCAACACCTACATCGGTGAACTAATGACCCAGTGAAGGATTGAGGCTACAGAGAGCGTCATAACGAAGGAGAAGGTTTATCTGGTGAAGACGTCTGGGGCGGGAGGCAGGGCGGCTCTGGGTCGATAGCGGCACTGGGAATAGAATGATGTCATCACTGGGAATCCCCGACCTTCCAGATGCGTTGTTCAATTCCTGGAATTCCTGCAGCATCTCACCTATATCAATTTAGCTTATGGTCTTAATTATATCAAGTATTATCCCGTCACCATCACCTCAGGCGGAATACAACATTGTGATTGTTCTACACACGGTGGAGGGAGTGAGGGAGAGGGCGGGGGGAGGGGGGGGATGCTGGAATGGCGAGAGATGAAGTGTATGGGTAACGTCCCTGACATACCCCGGGAAGGCCGTACGCTGGCCTGACGTCACCCGGGGCTTCCCCGCCCTGGACTCTGTTGTTTACATCCTAGAGATGACTCACACTAGAGGCACCAGCCCTGTCATCCTCACCACACAGCCTTGGTGACTCACACTGCCAGGTCGTCCTCCACCCAGTACTACTTCTTGTTAGGTCTTGGATATATGGATTATTTATATTATTTCTGTTGCTTTTGTTAACTCACGTCTCACATTACATCCACATCAGTGTTTATCATCAACCCCCCAAAAGGACCCATTGGCCCCCTTCCCACCCTCCTCCCCCACCCCTCACCCCTCCCCACCCCTCACCCCTCCTCAACCCCTCACCCCTCCTCCACCCCTCCCCCTCCTCCACCCCTCACCCCTCCTCAACCCCTCACCTCCTCCCTCACCCCTCCTCCACCCTCACCCTCCTCCACCCCCCCACCCCTCCTCCACCCCTTACCCCTCCTCACCCTTACCCCTCCCCACCCTCACCCCTCCCCCACCCTCACCCCTCCCCACCCCTCACCCCTCCCCCACCCCTCACCCCTCCTCAACCCCTCACCCCTCCTCAACCCTCACCCTCCTCCACCCCTCCTCCACCCCTCACCCTCCCCCACCCCTCACCTCCTCAACCCCTCACCCCTCCTCACCCCCCCCTCACCCTCCTCAACCCCTCACCTCCTCCCCTCACCCCTCCTCCACCCCTCCTCCACCCTCCCACCCCTCCCCCACCCTCCCCCTCCCCCACACCCCCCTCCCAACCCCTCACCCCCCTCACCCTCCCCACCCCTCACCCCTCCCTCACCCCTCCCTCACCCCCTCCTCAACCCCTCACCCCCTCCTCACCAAACTCACTTCTCCATTTCCTATTCACTAAACCTCTTGATTCACATGGTGTTCAAGGGTCTGTTGTCAAAAGCCTTCCTGAAATCACTGTTTTAACTCGGAATTTAAATATTGACGAAAAAATGAGTTTAATTGGTTCCTTTTACCTGTTGTTTACTGCTGTTGACACCTGGTGGATTATTATTGTTGTTGTTATTATTATTATTATTATTATTATTATTATTATTATTATTATTATTATTATTATTATTATTATTATTATTATTATTATTATTATTATTATTATTATTACTATTATTGTTATTATTATTATTGTTATTATTATTATTATTATTATTAGTATTATCATATTTTAGTAACATACAAAAATACATATAACTATTTCTGAACATTAATTTCTAAGTTCAATAAATTAGGGCCAAAAATCACATGTAATTTCATATCTGGAATATATTTATAGACGATGAAAGGAAGACTCTCATAGAAGTGCCTTGTAGATGTCACACTTGATATACACTTACAGGAATGTTCGTAAAGTGAGGTTAATGTTGGTCAGACACGGTGAGAGGGGGTCAGGTCAGGTCAGGTCAGGTCAGGTCAGGTAAAGTTTGGTTAGTATTAGGTTAAATTAGGTGGGGGAGAGAAATAGGGGAACTAGAAAATAAGAAACAGAAAGAGAGAAAAGGAAAGAAAATTAAAAGGAAAAACAAAAACATGGTCACTTAACTTAGGAGGCAAAAAAGGGCAGTGAAAACGATGCATAATTTACGAGGAATCTCTATCTTGTAATGTTAGAAGCGACCTTGTGTGCGGGGCAGTAACCAAGGCCTCTGAGAATCTGGGTTTCAATTTTTAGAAGTTCTTGGGATGGAAATTTCTCGTAACTGGAGATGGTAAGAGGAATCACGTGAAGGTTAACCCACTCTGTTTATTTCACCGTAAGATTACACTCTCTGGCGCTAACCTAATGTAACCTAACCTTACCTAATGTTAAGGGCCCCTGGTGTTAGGTTAATCTTACATCAGAGGCCCTTAACCTAACACCGAGGCCCTTAAGGTAGAGTCCCAGTGTTAAGTTAAGGGCAAGTTCTTATCTTACAAATCACTATGAAACTCGTTCACCAATCCAATGTCACTTTTAGTTTCATTATTTCCCCGCCACCCACACTTTCATTATTTCCCCGCCACCCACACTTTCATTATTTCCCCGCCACCCACACTTTCATTATTTCCCCGCCACCCACACTTTCATTATTTCTTTCCCTATTTTTATTCCCTATTGTACACCAGGTCCATAAAGTGCGCGCGCGTGTGTGTGTGTGTGTGTGTGTGTGTGTGTGTGTGTGACCTTGGCGGCATCAAGGTCAGTGGATGACCTAGTTATGACTCCCTCTCTTACGTAAAAGAATTGAATGGTTCCAGGGAAACCACACAGGCCAGAGGAACAATGTAAGATTGATTTAAGATAACAAAATCCACAATGAACTTTGATAATATAGGTAACCGGCCAGATAACGGTACAGCCGGATGTAAGACTAATGAACGAGGTAGCCGGATGGAAGGGGAAATTTATTAAGGTCAAATGTGACTTGTTGAAGTATCCGGTCATTATCATAAGTGGAGTCTGATTTAATTACGGTGAAACAGGAGAGCCGGTTATAAAATCTAGTGTACAGGCGGTCCCAATTAAAGCCGGATACAATGTACGGTCAATTAAAATCCGGCTACACATACGAGAAGGACAATAGCCAGCTTGACTTGCGGATAGAAAAGTGAGCCGAGTTATAAATCCAGTTGGAGCCGGATTAAAGTTCGGAAGATGAAAGAAGAGTCAGGTATAAATCCGGCTGGTGGGAGAGGGAAAACCGGTTCTAGGCCAGATACCCAAGAGATGAGTGGCCTTGTATGACGTCACGCCTCCACCAGACATGATCAATAATGTGTTGCCAAGAGGACTGTGTGTACACCAAGAGGACTGTGTGTACACCAAGAGGACTGTGTGTACACCAAGAGGACTGTGTGTACACCAAGAGGACTGTGTGTACACCAAGAGGACTGTGTGTACACCAAGAGGACTGTCTGTACACCAAGATGACTGTGTGTACACCAAGAGGACTGTGTGTATACCAAGAGGACTGTGTACACCAAGAGGACTGTGTGTACACCAAGAGGACTGTGTGTACACCAAGAGGACTGTGTACACCAGAGGACTGTGTGTACACCAAGAGGACTGTGTGTGTACACCAAGAGGACTGTGTACACCAAGAGGACTGTAAGGTACAATTAAAGAGGACTGTGTGTACACCAAGAGGACTGTATGCAGGCCACCAAGAGGACTGTATGTACACCAAGAGTGACTGTGTACACCAAGAGGACTGTATGTACACCAAGAGGACTGTGTGTGTACACCAAGAGGGACTGTGTGTACAACGGTTAAGAGTGAGACTGTATGCACAATTGAAAGAGGACTGTGTGTACACCAAGAGGACTGTGTGTACAATTGAAAGAGGACTGTGTGCATGCCTCAAGAGGACTGTGTGTACACAATTGAAAGAGACTGTGTGTACACCAAGAGACTGTGTGTACACCAAGAGGACTGTGTACAATTAAGAGGACTGTGTGTACACCCAAGATGACTGTGTGTACAACCAAGAGGACTGTGTGTACCAGAGGACTGTGTACACCAAGAGGACTGTGTGTACACCAAGATGACTGGCTGTGTGTATTACCCTAAGAGGACTGTGTACACCAAGAGGACTGTGGCTGCACACCAAGAGGGACTGTATGTACAATTAAGAGGACTGTGTGTACACCAAGAGGACTGTGTGTACACCAAGATGACTGTGTGTACACCAAGAGGACTTGTGTGTGTATGCTAAGATGACTGTGTGCACACCAAGAGGACTGTGTGTACACCAAGATGACTGTGTACACCAAGAGGACTGTGTACACCAGAAGATGACTGTGTGTACGCCAAGATGACTGTGTGTACACCAAGAGGACTGTGTGTACACCAAGATGACTGTGTGTACACCAAGAGGACTGTGTGTACACCAAGATGACTGTGTGTACACCAAGATGACTGTGTGTACACCAAGAGGACTGTGTGTACACCAAGATGACTGTGTGTACACCAAGAGGACTGTGTGTACACCAAGAGGACTGTGTGTACACCAAGATGACTGTGTGTACACCAAGAGGACTGTGTGTACACCAAGATGACTGTGTGTATACCCAAGAGGACTGTATGTACACTAAGAGGACTGTGTACACCAAGATGACTGTGTGTACACTAAGATTACTGTGTACACCAAGATGACTGTGTGTACACCAAGAGGGACTGTGTGCACACCAAGAGGACACGTGTGGTACACTAAGAGGACTGTGTGTACACCAAGACTGTGTGTACACCAAGAGGACTGTATGTACACCAGTTAAGAGGACTGTGTACACTAAGAGGACTGTGTGTGTACACCAAGATGACTGTGTACACCAAGAGGACTGTGTATGCTGAAGATGACGGGGGTACGCCAAGATGATCAGGTACAATTAAGAGGACTGTGTGTGAGCACCAAGAGGACTGGGGGTACACTAAGAGGACTGTGTACACCAAGAGGAGACTGTGTACACTAAGAGGACTGTGTGTGTGCTACAAGAGGACTGTGTGTACACCCAAGAGACTGTGTGTGCTACCCAAGAGGACTGTGTGGCACCAAGAGGGACTGTCTGTACACCAAGATGACTGTGTGTGCACTAAGAGGACTGTGTGTATACCACAGGATCAGTACACATTAAGAGGGGACTGTGTGTACACCAAGAGACTGTACACCAAGAGACTGGTGTGTACACCAAGAGGACTGCGTGTACACCAAGAGGACTGTGTGTACACCAAGAGGACTGTGTGTACACCAAGAGGACTGTGTGTACACCAAGAGGACTGTGTACACCAAGAGGACTGTGTGTACACCAAGATGACTGTGTGTATACCAAGAGGACTGTGTGTATACCAAGAGGACTGTGTACACCAAGAGGACTGCGTGTACACCAAGAGGACTGTGTGTACATCAAGAGGACTGTGTGTACACCAAGAGGACTGTGTACACCAAGAGGACTGTGTGTACACCAAGAGGACTGCGTGTACACCAAGAGGCCTTTGTGTCTATAGAGAACACTACAGTATATTGCATTATATTGCAATGAAGAAATACAATATTGCATTATATATTGCAATACGTGTTGCCGCTTTTTCCGTCAGCCTCGTATGATTTCAATTAAAATAGATTAAATTGACTTATTGTTGACTATTGTTTGTATACCTGCACCGTCTATGTATATTGTGTGTTTACCTGTAATGTATATTTGTGTATACATGTAGTCTATATATTGTTTGTTTACCTGTATTGCAGTGTTTATGTACCTGTATTACCTGTGTTTATTATTTATTTATTACCTGCAGTGTTTAAGTACATTGTTTATAAACCCACACCATTTCCTTACACGTTCTATAGTACAATACCTATAATAATTGTCTCATGCCGCAACAACCCTTAAACTTGTATGGCCATTTTGTGGTATATATGTATACTTTACTTATAAAACTATACATTCTGAGTTTTTACTTTGGAACAATTAATTTAACGTAGTAAACCATTAAATTAGAATAAAATAAAGTACGTCCTTGTTGGGGAATTTTCTTAGGCTCGTATCCTCTTTTTCTTCATACAACACAAATAGTAAAGTTATCCAACAATTTACATTAATTTATGCATTATCAGTCACTTAATGTTGTTCTCTCGTACTGAGCAACAGGGATATATATATATACCCAAGACGTACTGAACTATTTGGGAATATTTGATTACAATTACATACCAATTTCCTATAAACAGGTACTGACAGATTAATTTTAATAGACTGAAAATTAAACACACCAAAGAGTATATAACTTATACTAGGACTTAATTGAAATAATACATAAACTTATAAATAAAATCAATAGTTTATATAATGAGAAATAAGGGAAATAGATTAAAATGATCGCTTGTTGAAACTAGCGGTGAAGTAGAGGAACTGTGTGTGGTGGTCTAGTTGTTGTTGTGTGAGGAAAGATCTTGGCGAGGAAGATCATTAAACGGATATAAGGTATTTTATCGTTTTATTGTAGTATTATTATTTCAGATTACACCTAGAGTCATGTAGCAGTTATTTTATTGTATTCTCGTCAATTACTTTATGGAGACTTGTGTATCATTGTGCTTAATACCACTTAAAAACTACTATTTAAGTGTCGTTAACATATGCTTAGGATATGTAATATTTATTAATACAAATTACACGAAGATAATGAATTATTTAAACGAGTTAAATGGATGATCTTATATACGAGACACAGGACATATGAACCAAACTGATGCAAGTTAGGTTAAGGGTACTGTACAGTTCTGCCAAACTTGACTACTGTACTGAATGTATTACTCAGTGGTTCATTCAGGCTGTAATTAGGATTGTGAAGGTAATACTGACCTTCATGTCCAAGAGAAATGAGCCATTATAGGTGACCCCCCCCCCCTCCCTCCAACACCCCTCTCCCACGACCATAAATTTTGATTGCATAAAGTGGGCGGGGCTTTGAAGTGAGGGGGTAACATGGGATAACGATGGAGGAGTATTTACATGACCTTGAGTAGCCTTCAAAGTCTGTTGTTTGTGTGTGTGCCTCTTCAGTCACTGTTGCTCTTGTGTGTGTGTGCTCCTTCTGTCTCTGTTGTTTTAGGTAAAGCCCTTCAGTCTCTGTTGCTCTTGTGTGTGTGCTCCTTCAGTCTCTGTTGCTCTTGTGTGTGTGCTCCTTCAGTCTCTGTTGCTCTTGTGTGTGTGCTCCTTCAGTCTCTGTTGCTCTTGTGTGTGTGCTCCTTCAGTCTCTGTTGCTCTTGTGTGTGTGCTCCTTCAGTCTCTGTTGCTCTTGTGTGTGTGCTCCTTCAGTCTCTGTTGCTCTTGTGTGTGTGCTCCTTCAGGCTCATCATGTTTTGTGTGTGCTCCTTCCAGTCACTGTTGCTCTTGTGTGTGTGTTCTTCAGTCTCTGTTGCTCTTTGTGTGTGCTCCTTCAGTCTCTGTTGCCTTGTGTGTGTGCTCCTTCAGTCACTGCTGTTTTGTGTGTGTGCTCCTTCAGTCTCTGTTGTTTTGTGTGTGTGCTCCTTCAGTCTCTGTTGCTCTTGTGTGTGCTCCTTCAGTCTCTGTTGCTCTTGTGTGTGTGCTCCTTCAGTCTCTGTTGTCTTGTGTGTGTGCTCCTTCAGTCTCTGTTGCTCTTGTGTGTGTGCTCCTTCAGTCTCTGTTGCTCTTGTGTGTGTGCTCCTTCAGTCACTGTTGCTCTTGTGTGTGTCCCTTCAGTCTCTGTTGCTCTTGTGTGTGTGCTCCTTCAGTCTCTGTTGCTCTTGTGTGTGTGCTCCTTCAGTCACTGTTGCTCTTGTGTGTGTGCTCCTTCAGTCTCTGTTGCTCTTGTGTGTGTGCTCCTTCAGTCACTGTTGCTCTTGTGTGTGTGCTCCTTCAGTCACTGTTGCTCTTGTGTGTGTGCTCCTTCAGTCTCTGTTGCTCTTGTGTGTGCTCCTTCAGTCTCTGTTGCTCTTGTGTGTGCTCCTTCAGTCTCTGTTGCTCTTGTGTGTGTGCTCCTTCAGTCTCTTGCTCTTGTGTGTGTGCTCTTCAGTCTCTGTTGCTCTGTGTGTGCTCCTTCAGTCACTGTTGCTCTTGTGTGTGTGCCCTTCAGTCTCTGTTGCTCTTGTGTGTGTGCTCCTTCAGTCTCTGTTGCTCTTGTGTGTGTCTCCTTCAGTCACTGTTGCTCTTGTGTGTGTGCTCCTTCAGTCTCTGTTGCTCTTGTTGTGCTCCTTCAGTCTCTGTTGCTCTTGTGTGTGTGCTCCTTCAGTCACTGTTGCTCTTGTGTGTGTGCTCCTTCAGTCTCTGTTGCTCTTGTGTGTGTGTGCTCCTTCAGTCTCTGTTGCTCTTGTGTGTGTGCTCCTTCAGTCTCTGTTGCTCTTGTGTGTGTGCTCCTTCAGTCTCTGTTGCTCTTGTGTGTGTGCTCCTTCAGTCTCTGTTGCTCTTGTGTGTGTGCTCCTTCAGTCTCTGTTGCTCTTGTGTGTGTGCTCCTTCAGTCTCTGTTGCTCTTGTGTGTGTGCTCCTTCAGTCTCTGTTGCTCTTGTGTGTGTGCTCCTTCAGTCTCTGTTGCTCTTGTGTGTGTGCTCCTTCAGTCACTGCTGCTCTGTGTGCTCCTTGTGTGTGTGCTCCTTCAGTCACTGCTGCTCTTGTGTGTGTGCTCCTTCAGTCTCTGTTGCTCTGTGTGCTCAGTCACTGTGCTCCTTCAGTCTCTGTTGCTCTTGTGTGTGTGCTCCTTCAGTCATCTCTTGCTCTGTGTGTGTGTGTCTGTTTTGTGTGTGTGCCCTTCAGTCTCTGTTGCTCTTGTGTGTGTGCTCCTTCAGTCACTGTTGCTCTTGTGTGTGTGCTCCTTCAGTCTCTGTTGCTCTTGTGTGTGTGCTCCTTCAGTCACTGCTGCTCTTGTGTGTGTGCTCCTTCAGTCACTGCTGCTCTTGTGTGTGTGCTCCTTCAGTCACTGCTGCTCTTGTGTGTGTGCTCCTTCAGTCTCTGTTGCTCTTGTGTGTGTGCTCCTTCAGTCACTGCTGCTCTTGTGAGTGTGCTCCTTCAGTCACTGCTGCTCTTGTGTGTGTCTGGTTATTCCCAGTTTTACCTGTTGATGAATTTAAATAAACTAGACTACAGTACAGTACCTCGATTTACCAGAGTTTTTCCTTTTATATTTTGTTGTTGTCTCCCAGTAATCCAATATACCGTACATTAAGCGAGATGCTCCAAATACAAGTTACATGTTTTTATCTTACTTTTCAGACAAGACAATGGGTTCAACTGAGGATGATATTGACTCAAAGGAAGCCTGGGTGTTCTACAAAGACAGAGAATATTGGGCAGATGTAACGCCCATACCTCAAGATGACGGCCCTAATGCAGTTGTTAAAATTGCTTACACAGATGCCTGTTAGTATATTTGGTACTGTAGTGTGAAGTAAAAATATACTGTAATTACAGGTACTGTATGGTACATCCTCTTTTAACAGAAAACTTAAGAGTTGTAGATTATTGTAAAATATATTTGAGTACTGTATTAATATGTACAATACTGTACTGTATTATGAAGTCTTGTCAAGAACAGAGGTACAGTACCTAAGAAAGGGAGTTTATGAATGCTTTGAATTTAGGATATACAGGTATACTCCACCTTACTTATCCAAAAGATTAATTTTGTTATTTAAATGTTTCTTACTGTTAAAATGTGTCCAGTAATATTAATGGTATCGGTAGATCTACTGAAGGATTACTCTTCATCGTGCTAAATCAGTTCATCAACAGTTACAGATGTTTACGACTACTTCCGAGCTGTTATGGCAAGTGGGGAGCTCTCGGAGAGAGCCTTAGAGTTAACTGGGGACGCATTGCACATGAACGCTGCCAACTATACTGTGTGGCAGTACAGGTGAGACTCATGATCTAAATAACATTAATATTGTCTTGTGGATTACTGGATCTGAACCACCATTATTATTTTGACACACATTTAACCAGATTTTACTATTACTGTACAGTATTTTGACATGAAAATTTTGTAGATTTTATCAATTAAATTATATTTAAATATGCACGTGAGCCAGTATTTCCAGATTGGTAATTATGGCTCTGCTTAACTTTGAAATAATTTTAGTGCACTGTACCGTATTATATGCATGTCATTTATCGTAATACTGTATAGCAATTAAGTCATTTGGCTAATTAAGTGTCTAGTGGTATTGTGTTAATGAAATTACCATAAGTAACTGATTTAATATTGTGGTATAAATATAGATTGTAAATAATGTTGGTGTAGATATTAAATCTTAAGTTATTAAAATATAATAAAAACTATAATATACAGCGGTCCCTCGATTAACGAACGGTCCAATTAACGAAATTTCGGTTAAAGAATTAGCTCCCGTAAGGATTTTCAATTCCATTAACGAACAAAACTTCGATTAACGAACGCCTTACGAGAAACACTTTTGTTGTGCGCATCGGCTGATCGGCCAGTCCGCCAATACAGTAATTGGTTCTACGTTTACATTCGTTTCCAGTTGAATAAATATCAAGAAAGTTGTGCTCTTGAATATTTTTGCATTTTTTATATTCAAATTATTGGTCATTCTAATTTAGTTAACATATTGATAATATATACAGTACAGGGAACAGTTTTTGTGTGCCAATCAGCTGATCGAATCACCCACCAACGCTTCTCGGTTTAACTTTGTTTACAGTGTAGTGAACATGCAGTTTGTTGGTTTCTTGAATATTTTTGCATTGTTACATTAAAATTATTGGTCATTTTGAAATTTAGTTTACATATTGATAATATACAGTGCAGAAATTATTATGAAATATGAAGAAGGCATTAGAACCAATGCACTCTGTAAAGAATATGGCATGTCATCATCGACTGCCTCTGCAATCAGCTGTATACTGTACAGTACAGTACAGTACTGTATTTAGTTTATATTTAATGTTTTGTTAATTCTATTACTGGTATATAGTACTTTGTATGTATAGTTTTTCTGTGAGTTGGAACCAATTACCCAATATCCCATTGAAATAATAGATTCAATTAACGAAATTTTTGGTCAACGAACGACTCTGTGGAACCAATTGTGTTCGTTAATCGAGGGACCACCGTACTATAATTATCTAAGCTAGCCCCGTACGCTTAAAAAAGCGGTACCCAAGAATAAGTGATCACCTACACTTTAATAAGGTACTTGGCTATTACTTTAGGGGCTGCTATGAGTTGTAGAGAGTCTTGGAGGAACCGAGAAGTTAGAATATCCTTGGTTGCCGGCTGTCTGGTAGGTTTTGGAAAGTTGCGACTGCCTTCCGTGAAGTGTGAAATGAGAACGGCATTTCTACCGCCTCGTACAATTGCGTGACCCAAACGCGCAGTGATACAAAAGCAAGAACTAAATCTTCATTATTAGTTTTCTTTGCAATACATATTTACATTTTTAGTTAACCACCGCCACCGACATCGTGTAAATTAAAAGAAATTAACGTGATCAATAGAGAAAGAGGAATACCGCACTACTTCCCGTGAAGTAATCCATCTGGCGGGTGCCAAATATTGTTTTACCACTAATTTGTGTACACTCCGCGTAATCATTTCCCTAACCTAACTGGCTAATCATTAATTAGCACATAATTTACATATACCACATTGGATTGTTATTCCAAGACTGATAACACACAAGTTTACTACTGCGGTGCTTCAAGGACCTGGAGGATAAAGGTGGAAATTAATTCCCACAGTTGGTATGTTGCAGTTGCTTAAGGGTGTACAGTACCTAAGGTTACTTGTTAGTTAAGGGAGCGGGTAAGGGTCATCTTTTGGAGACGTCAACCTTCGTCTCTCCTCGACCGTAGTGGGGACTTCACAAGCTCAGTCCACGTGTTCCTTATATACTGTTGCAGTTAAACCATTTCTCCTCTTTGAATGTATGTGAGTTAACACATTTGTAAAGGGAACTTCCAATATTTTCTCTTGCTGGTAGATGTGGCTTCAGTTAATACTTATTGGGTATATCCTATTACCCTAAGCCTTACAATGCAAAATTGTGGACGGCCGGCCATCAGCGTGTGTACATTAGTTGCCACTTCCTTTCTTCCTAAACATCAGAGTCATAGCATTAGCCTCAATTTCTGTGTACAGTAGGTCACAAACCCAGTAAGGTCAAGGGAAAGGTTTCTATAGTGAGAGCAGAAAGACTTTTATGTATTACTGAAATAATTAAAAACAACTTAATTCATCATTGATTTTATAATAATTTGTTCATGAAATTTATGTCATTGGTTAACTAAAAAGTTTCAGCCCATTAATTTCCACTTTATTTCTACAGGAGGAAGGTTCTCAAACATTTAGGCAGTAACCTGGAGCAAGAATTGGCATTTTGTCGTGAAATGATTGAAATGAACCCCAAGAATTATCAAGTATGGTAAGATCTAAAGTGTATACTGTAGCTACTTGTTTAATATTGCATAAAAATGAATATATACAGTACATCAATATTTAGAGTTTTCAGTAACTTCACTCTAACTTTGTCCCAGTTGATCAGTATACTGCAATTAATTTGTAATTAAACTTGTTTCTGCAGTCTTGCACAGTTATTCTTAGGAACGTTGTAAATAATATAACTACAGTAGTAAGCAAGATTTGGGTTATTTTTAACTTGTAATGAAAGTGTGTTTAATAAAAGATTTATAAACTAAAACAGTATTACATAAATGTGTCAGAGTTGCACTTCTAGGCTATTATCCAGCCTTCCAAAGTACAGTATTTGTCCACCAAAATGTCAGTTTGCCCACACCTGTGTTTAATAAGTAAAAGTACACAACCAGACCACAGGTTAAGGAGTAATATTTTGATTCTGCTGCCTTCTGGAAAAGCCCGTCGGTGTACATATAGGTAAACGCGTGACTATTTATTACTTTTTGAACACTCGCATACGACCGGCGTTTTAGGCATCATCGGCGTGTGATCGTCGGCTGGCTCGGCGATGCTGGCAAGGAGCTGAGGCTGACCGAGATGATCTTCAATCAAGATGCCAAGAACTACCATGCATGGGAACATAGGCAATGGGTTCTGAGGACATTTAAGTGAGTGAATAATTCTGAGTTGATTACTTTTATTTGAAATATTAAAATAATTCTTGGAGTGTGTTTCCAAGCTGGTAGGACTGATTTTTTTTCTTCTTCTAAGGTTTCCAGATATCCTGTACATAGATTATGATAGGGTGTCAAAACTAGAGAGCATTCTGGTACGTGTGGGAGGGTGGGTGTAGGAATTGACCAGTGGTAAGATGGAAAAAGACCTATTTAATCAGAAGGAATACTACTGGAGATGATTGTGGGGAATTTTGTTGACTATCATGGTGTTTTAAGTGAAGATATTGTAATAAGAAATACAAAAAGTGTTGCAGGTTTGCCTGTACAGTATTTCCTTATATATAATTATTAATGACATGATTTTGCAGCAGATTATTTGATGGTGAACTTGACTATGTAGATAGACTTCTTGACGAAGATGCGAGAAACAACTCTGCTTGGAACCAGCGGCACTTTGCCATCACGCAGACCACGGGCTTCACACCAGAAGTGATAGAGCGAGAAGTAGAGTATACCAAGAATGCCATCAACAAAATTGTAGGCAACGAGAGCCCATGGAGCTACCTCAGAGGGTAAGCACTGATACACACACAGCTTAATGACAAGGGTTCTGTTCCTGTGATATACTGAAACATAACTCAGCCAAATAATATAAGTGAACCCATTATATCCTTTTGCTTATTTAAGGGTTGTCCAGCACTGCGATGGTGGCTTGAACAGCGTAGGTGACCTGGAGAAGTGGTGCCAAGACATGTATGAGGCAGGACAGCGATCACCTCACCTTCTAACTTTTATGATTGATCTTATGGAAGATAAGTTGGAGCGAGATCCCTCAGTTAGACCACAACTATTGAAGAGAACTCTGAAGGTATGTAACTTTGTATGCATCCAGTACTGATTGATTTTTAGTTCTCATGTGATTAAGAAAGGTTATGTAGATGTTTTGGTTTATGTAGAATATATGAATGGCTGATTTAATGTAAAGGAATGAAACTCATTACAAAATTTCCCTTAGCTTGAAATCTCCAATGACTGGATAAGGGAGCTATCTGGTTTTCCTCAGATATTTCCTTGTAGCCTGACCAAACCAGTCTTATGTGAATATGAATGGGTTGTTTGTGTAGGCCAGGTAGAAGAGTTAACCAGAATGACTTGGGGGGGGGAAAGGGAGGGAATCAAGAAGCAACATTTATCATCTGACTGGACATACACAGAATATATACAGCATGCCCTTAAAATTTGTGGGGGTTAGGTTCTCAAAATGGCCACGAATAACATTTTGACTCCTGTAAAAAAATATACACCGTATAGTATTTCCTTTATGCGTTTGGCCTTAGGACAATTAATAACAAAGCATGGAGTGGACTTGGGGGTAGACTCTCACATTTTTAATACATTTGTTTCTGATTATTTGTGAGAGGATTTTCCCATTATTATTTATTTGTATGTGTTTTGTGTGTACACACACACACAGTAGTCTCTCGATTAACGAACGGTTCAATTTACGAAATTTCAGTTAACGAATTAGCTCCCATAAGGATTTTCAGTTCCATTAACGAACAAAACTTCGATTAACGACAGCCTAACTCGCTCTGTTGTGCGCATCAGCCGATCGGCTAGTCCGCCAAAACAGTAATCGGATGTATGTCTATATTCGTTTCCAGTGCAGTAAATATCACTAAAGTTGTGCTCTTGAATATTTTTTTATTTTTTTTATTAAAATTATTGGTCATTCTGAAATTTAGTTAGCATATTAATAATATATACAGTACAGGGAACAGTTTTTGTGCGCTCATCAGCTGATCGAATCACCCACCAGTTTGTTGGTCTCTTGAATATTTTTGCATTTTTACATTAAAATTATTGGTCATTCTGAAATTTCTTCAACATACCCCAGTATTGATAATATACAGTGCAGAAATTATTATGAAATATGAAGAAGGCATTAGAACCAATGCACTCTGTAAAGAATATGGCATGTCATCATCGACTGCCTCTACAATCGGCTGTATACTGTACGGTACAGTACTGTATTTAGTTTATATTTAATGTTTTCTTAATTCTATTACCGGTATACAGTACTTTGCATGTATAGTTTTTCTGTGAGTTAGAACTAATTACCCAATATCCTATTTGGAACCAATTACCCAATATCCCATTGAAATAATAGATTCGGTTTACAAAATTTTCGGTCAACGAACGACCCTGTGGAACCAATTGTGTTCGTTAATCGAGGGACCACCGTACAATACAGGTAAAAGAAATTACTGTCTCTAGAACAAATGGGTCCCCGTCCCGGCTGCGAAAATGCCAGCAACTTTAAAACTACCCTTAGACATTCTTGGGTACATCCGGGGTGTCATCCACGAATTCTCGGGGCACGCTGTACAAACAAAATTTGTTGTGCGAGTAGTAGGAGGATAGAGCACATAGGTTAACACTAGGAAGAAAGTGAATTATCTTGTCCTGTACTGTATTTTATTACTCATTATTAGTGTAGCTTATATTCAGTATTCTGTATTTTCATAAGAACTTGATAATATTTATAACATTACTTACACTGTATCCATTATGTCTTGCAGATGTGCGAGTCTCTAGCAACAGAGCACGACAAGATTCGTCACGAGTACTGGCGATACATAGAGAGAAATCTTAATCATAGGTTCAGCGCTTAAACCATAAATGTCTCTTGTTAAATGTGGTACTATACCCTGTAGCCGGTTGGATCTCGGCGTGCAGATCTAAACTTAAAGCCTCTGCAAATTAGTCTCTGGGTATTTAGGAAATGTCGTCATATTTTGAATTTTAAAGTCGGCAGAAATTAGTAGTCGTCCATTACGGAGGGAATAAGACTTTACTTTGAAGTATATATCAACCGGTACGTATTACTAGAGTGCAAGATGTTATATTTGAGTTGGTCCACGTAGTCAGCCTTAGAATAGTTGATCGTTTAACGAAGAAGGATTTATTAGGCAGGTTATGTATTTTGCCATTAATTATACCGATTGTTTGTTTAAGTCATTGGCTGGAATACCCAAGATGAGGAAGATTGGTATTGTAGGTTTAATTTTGGATGCAGCTACTAAGAAAAACAAATAGAATATACAAGAAAATACCTGATGGCTTACACATGTTGGTCTGAGTTAAGTTGTGTGAAACATGTAAAGGTTTACTTTATTATCTCTTGAGAAAACTCATTCCCTACAGGTAATGTCATATAGCAGTATATTTAAAAGCTTAATCTTTTATGCTTTAATGACCTAAACTTATGCTAGTTTAGATTTTTGTATTTTTATGGTCCTCTTTCTTACCATCTAATGTTTAAGATTTTTATACACCCAGTTTGCAGGGTATATAGTGAAGCTGTCCGACTATTAACGTTTAATTTTCTGCTTTTATAACTTGTTCCTCGCACACCTTCATCACACTGCCACGAGTCTATTATTTAGAAATCAACAGTTTCAAGGTCAGGTTCATCTCATTCACAAGAGAGAGACAGCTTCTGGGGTCTTTTCAGGCATATTATGTGTAGTTACAGTATTTTTGTCAATGCCTTAAGCTTGGTGCACAACTATTCTACCACACACTTATGATAAGAAAATATGTCGCCTCTACCGTACTGTGTTGGTAGAAATAATTCATGAAGTGAGACAAAAGTGTAGGTCATTTTTAAAAGGATAATAAGGAAAGATAGTCATAATTATTGATGCATTCTGACTTCATAGTTCAAATATATGACAATTGCATTAGTTAGACATCACGCTTATTTATTTTATTCGGTAGATATTTTTAGAATTACTTATGGATAAAAGTCCAGTTGACATTTTTTTTTATTTTTGGGGGGGATATGGTGAGTGTGTACATTATTAACTGCAAATCATATAAGGAAGAGAATTGTTTAGTGATATTTTGGAAAGTATTGTTTTTTAGATTTGATTTTCCACAAGGCAGTGTAGCAGAATTGTTCAGGTCATGATATATCAGGAAGAAGACTACTGTACTGGCTACCATAGGTTTCATTTGAAGTTTCCCTGTGTGTTAATGTCCTTACAGAAAACAACGCGCATCTCATTCTCCAGCGACGAAAAGTTTATTTGATTGCTCCACTAGATTACGTTAGGCATGTACAGATATCAGAGTTTACTTATGTTGGGAGGGAGGTGTACGAGAGGACACTCGGGTACCACGGTATGATTAACGGGGGGCAAGCATCAGAGGGGTCGTTTATAGGTACAAGAGAACACCATTTACTAACACAGCACATAACTTGTTTCCTAATTTTGTAGTTGATAAGAAGCTTGTTTATATTAATGTTATGTACAATGGTATTATGAAACATGCATTCAACTAAATACATAAATGATTTGTAATTTAACCTTTCAATATTAATATTTTTCTTTTCCATAAGATGTAAGAATTTTTTGTTATTTAAGGTACAAAATCATATACAATACTTCATTTTCAGTAAAGTAGTTATGAGATTAAATGTGTATTGTTACAATCGGCAATAAGTTGTATCATCTTGAGCGGCCTCTGAAGGTGTAGATCAGTACAGTATGTTAGCGAGTCAATTGTAGCATAATTATTAGGACGAGGATAACAACAGTGACGAGGTCCTTCGGGTTATTGTTGTCTCCGTTTTAGCTGCATCAGATAGGTTTATGAACACCAGTCTTGGCTTACTGAGAGAACTTTTTGACCAACCTGGAAAAAGCTGGAGTTTCATTGGAATATGCTGTACCAAACTACTGTACAACTATATGTTAGTTATGAAAAAATACAGGTACTATAAAAAAGTAATATGTTCTCTGCATATAACATTCCCTCCACTTATTAACAGCTCAGAAAATTTGAATGTACGGAAATTGGTTTAAGGAATGTGAAATTACTGGTATGGTAGGTGTATTCAGACACAATCAGAATAAGAAATTTTATTAAGAAATTTTACCGAGTACAGATTTATAAGTATACTGTACATATTGTGTAGTACTATCTGTGCAGTAACATAAGTTAACATATACTAAACAGAAATGAAATACAGTTTTACAAGAGATGACAAGTTATTACGTGAAAAAATATAAATACCATATTGTACATTATGTTTTAATAGATAAATCCCGATGTTCGTGAAAAGAAAAATGGCTCATCAATCACATTCTGTATTTGGAAGCATTTACAAATTATAGGTCATGGCATTATGACAAACAAATCCAACATGAAATACTTTGCCATTTTACATCGTGGAAACTGAATTCGGCGATCCACGTGGGGTACCAAGGAAACCCTTCAAAGTTTTATTTTTGTGAAGAGCTTTTTCCGAGGTCCTAAGCTAAACGAGGTACTTAAATGCCTATGCTTGGGATCCTCAAATCCTGCTTGCAGATTGGCCCAAGATCTCTGGTGGATTGGTATACCTAGAGTATCCAGGATTTGAGAGGCTACCGAGGGTACAACCGGCTGTAAAGCTATGCCTGCCATTCTTACGGTCTCTAGAGCAACCCGTAACACGGAGTCTAATTTGGTGCGGTCTGGAAGGTTTTTCAGTTCCCAAGGTTTTTCTTCTTGGACAAAAGCATTGGCTCGACGAGCCGCTGCCACGACGACTTCTAAGCCGCGATAAAAATTGAAGTCGGAGTAATGGTTTCCCACAGCAGCCGGAAGATTGATTAACTGTTCCACCAATTTTTGTCCAGATAATGGCATCTCTTGAAGGAATTGTGGGTTAAGAGGAAGTACTTGCCGATTTGGGTTGAGAGACGGAGCCGTGCACCGACTAAGAAGGTTTCCCAACGTGTCTGCCAGCTCCACATTTAGTAAGTGAACTGCGTTAGCTTCACTCCAGTTGCTGTCAAAATGCGGCGTGCCCATTCTCAGTAAGAGATACCGAAGGCCATCGGCCGAATACCGTTTAATGCAGTCCTCGGGGCATACCACATTACCCAACGACTTGCTCATTTTCTGTCCCTCGACCGTCCAGTGGGAATGACAGAGAATAGAACGGGGCGGCTCTAATCCCGCACCGATCAGAAGTGCCGGCCAATAGATACCGTGGAAGCGCAATATGTCTTTGCCAAGCACCTGAACGTCGGGTGGCCATAGATCTAATTTAGGATATCCCGATACTGTGAGGTAGTTGATAAGGGCATCGACCCAGACATAAATCGTATGCAAGTCATCATCCGGGACCGGAATGCCCCAAGACACACGAGCACTGGGTCGAGACACCGAGAGATCTCGAAGGTCGTCGTCCAACCACCTCCGTAACTGTTCACGAAATCTCTTGGGCTGCACTCGCTTTTCATCATTTAACCAGTAGAGCAGATCACTTTGAAATTTCGATAATTCGAACATATAATTGTCCTCGCTATTCCAGTCAACGGGTTGACCACTTTCGGCACTTACAAGTCTTTTCTCGCCGGACGGTAGGGTCACCTCTTGCACCTGTGCTTCCGTTAGAAATGCCTCATCCGGAACACAGTACCATCCACTGTAGTTACCACGGTAAATGTGACCTCTCTCTCTCAACCTACCGAAGAAGTGCTCGACTGCAAGTTTGTGTTTTTCCTCCGTCGTACGAACGTAATGCGTGTACTTGACGTCTGCCGAGTCAAAGAGAGATTTAAATTTCTCCGAAACATCGTTACAGAACCGAAGTGGGTCAGAGCCATTTAAAGCAGCAGCCCGCTGGACTTTAAGACCGTGTTCGTCCGTGCCAGTGGAGAAGATTGTCGTTTGTGTGGGTTTTCCCTGCAGCTGCTGGAATCTATGTGCAGCATCAGCAAGAAGTGCTGAATATAGGTGACCAATATGTGGCTGCGAATTCACATAAAATATAGGGGTTGTAATGAAGAAACTCTTGCTGCTGTTTGTTTCAGAGGAAATATTCCTGGTAAAATGACTCCACTCTATTTTTCTCTTCTCTCTCTGTCCGATTCCTTTCAGAAATGAAGATTTGGCCGTTTGAGCCGACAAAGTGGCCAATCTAGTCTGTCCCGCCATCGCGTTAAAACTTCTCACTTATCTCCGTCTAGTCTCAGAGGGAGAAACTCTTTTAGCGGGTCAAGTCGACAACGACGAAGTGTTGTCACCGACGAAAACGACAGAAATGTTGAAGAACACTGGAGTTGGTGGCACAGGATCTTGTTGTAGGCTGAATTTGTAGGACCATCATCTCTTCTCCCTAATGGTTAAGAATGTGAGATATATCTGTGAGAGCTCATTGAGAAAATCCTACTTACAAAATGACATGATCCCTGATGTCTTTTTGCTTTGTTTATTCACAGTGCACATATGATTGAATACAAAAGATATATACAATATATATAAATAAAATGCAATGGTAAATCAACACATTAACCGAGCCTTCGTATTAATAACGAGCAGCATAGATTCTCACATTGGATTCGCATGCTTTTAGTTATTTATTTAAGCATTCCACTCACGAACGTTGCCCAATTTTTATTTTTATCGTGGCGTGATTCCGTACGAGCTATTGTAGAGCGAGCAACTGAAAAATTGTGACCAGAATCTGAATTCGAGTACTACAGAAAATTATCGGGGAGGAAAAGTTGTAAACTTTTGGAATAACTTGCCAGAGAATGTTTGACTGTACAGTACAAGTAAGAGCTCTTTTAAACCTCTGCATCAGTCTAGACATATCCCACAATTATTGCAATGTATTTCTGGCGCCCCAATTTAGTTTCCTCGTGTATCGTATTAACCGAGCATCTCTGCGAAGGATTTTTGTCCAATAGTAATGACCGGACCACAGACGAGTCTAGGCGAGCCGCATCCGTTGACGTGCGGCGCCCAACACGGGAGGAAACGGCCATAAAAGGACAAGGATGATTCCTGCTTGCATGTAAGATGGTGACTTTACCCTGGATCTGACAGGTGATCCAGTAAATTTGAATAACACCCAAAACTTTAAATTCCTGTAGAGGTCAGTATTTTATCAATCATCACATTATAGTACAGTGCTGCTGCAATATTTTGTACTGTATTACACAGAGGCCAAAATGGATAAAAATCAACCATCGATCAACACTGGAATACTTTAAAAAAATGATTCTGAAATCCTATGCACCACTAAGGTTGTCTGAACTGTTCATAATAAGAGTACTGTACCTGTGCTGTGTCCAATTAAGCTATTAAATTTACCCAAGACACTACAAATGACACTTCTTGCTATACAGTATACCTATATATTATCTAACATCTTAAATCTTTTACTAAATTTTGTGCAGGGTGGACCGATAACTTAGCGAACATATATTCAAAGCTTGTTAGGTTACATTAGAATAATGATGTTTGGTTGGTTTGTTTTGTATGAGTAAAATTTTCAATGAAGTGAAGTGAAGTACAGTACAGTACAGTATGGGGAATCCAAAATTAAAGATTGTTTTACGATAGAACTAGAGCAAAATTTTTATTTTATGGTCTACAAAAATTACTTGGCAGGAATCAACCTTATTTACCTTTCACATACCGGGAAGTCCCCGATTTAGGAACGCTTGCCGATACGAACGGGATTAAACTTGAAATTTACGGTATACACCTGTATTTTATTTACCCGACGACTTATTTTTGTACTTTCATTTACTGTATTTAATTATTCTATTTCTTAAATTAAGTGATTTTAGTTGTATATAAGGACTTAGGCTATGATACAGTGAGATTTTAAACATCGTTTTGTAAGTACGGAATGCGCGCAGCAAGTATTCCGACTCGAGTACAAATCCGACTTAAAGGAAAGGTACCCGTTCGTAACCCGAGGACTCCCTTACCGTACAGTTAAATTCTTGTTTGAAGTGACTTACTGCTTACCATAGTGCAGGTACAGGTAGTTACATATACTTGTACAATTGCCCAATTAAATGATGTCACTAATTCCTGCAACTACCAGATTGGCTTTATTTTTTTGAGCCGGAACACAATTTTGTGCAATTGCAACAAATTAATTACTAAATCCTAAAACACACAACATTGCTTTGGGCTAAAATGAATCGCAAATAAAAATATGAATTGAAATAATAATCATATAATACAAAAAACCACCCCACTGCCCAGCCCCACAAATGCACGAACACGTCTGGGGTTATAGCTCGGCAACTTCCACTGGACCGGGGTCTCGATTGGCTGTACAGTACATAATGAACTAAGTTAATTTGTTCGATGTTAACCAATAAATATCTACCTGTCCCTCTATCTACCCAACTTTAAACCAACTACCTTTCTGCCAGTGAGCTTGGTTTTATTTTTTTTCCATCAGAATGTACTAGTCCCTCTGCCTTTCATCACTGTCCCTAGTTTGATTCTGGACAGGTGTGATAAGTGTGTTGGGTCTTTACTTACTAGTGCACCGTACAATCTAACCTAACCTAATCAGCCCCCCCCCCCCTGGACAGGTTTGATTGTTTTTCTATGTTTTTTTTTCACATTTCTCATACCCAAAGAAAAAAAAATGGTGCACTAATATAAATTGACAGGAAGTTGTCCAGTGTGACCCTAACGAATATTTTATCCAGATACTGCAGTGCACATCTGTATAAAGACTGGACCTCTGGGGTAACATGGGTATTACCGATAGAGGTCTCCAGTATAGATATAATCCACTCTCCATCACAGTGCTCTTGTGGGGCAAAACTTACATGTCAGCTGTGATAATTTTCTTCTACCCCAAGTGATTTACACGTTAAATAGTTTTCACAAATTCGCCATCAGTATCAGCCGCTCCAGCCGGGTCGGTTCACTAGTATCATACAAAGCTTAGTACATGATAGGATATATATATACACCTAGTTTGACGTGATGTAAAATAAGAGCACATTAAAACAAGTTAAATCAAGAATAAAAGATGGATTAAAACAATTGTAATAATATTTAAGAGGGTGTAGAGCCAGTAATATTCCTTGGTGTAGTGGTGGGTGTTCTCAGCCTCAGGAGGAAGTAGAGGCGCAGTGCAGACGAAACACCTTTGTTTACATGGGTGACGCACCACAACAAACACCTACCAGATTTTTACACCAAATACCAAGTTTTTTAAAGTGTGAGTAAATAAAAGTCATTAGTACTTTCGGCAAATATTCGTCTATTGGCTGTCCTCAGGTTTTAGTAGAATAGGATTTTTTTTGTTTTACGGCGTTTGACTGAAATCTGACCTTCATTTCTTGTGCAAATTAGTGGTTTTCGCCAAAAAATGAACATTTTTATTGTTAAACATAATTTGCACAAAAATGGAGGTCAAATTTGGGTAAACGTTTACTTAAGCGGTGTGGGCGATTTCGCCACCAAACACAGTTTTTCCTGCACGAATTTTGCTGCCTTTTCATTGGAGATAGTTTTTTTGTGGGGGGAAAAACAAAACTAAGGATTTCCTTAACCTAACCCCCTATTGTGGGGGGCTAGCCCCCCTCGATTGGTTATATAATGGGTAAAGGTGTAGATAACCCAAAGGTATGTTAGATAAATAGTTGTATTGAAAATGGTGTTTACAAGATGTCCCCTAAGATAATAAGTGAAAGGAACTAACCGGCCACACCACCAAACGTCATCTCGTTACATTCTTACTACTTTAAATATTTACCCCTATGTATCCTCTTGTCCATTATACAACCCTTCTTCCATGTAAATGCTCGTTCTGAGCATATAAATATATACTGAACTCGTTATATTGTGTTAATGGAGATAGAGAGTATGAAGGCTGGGCTGCTTCAGGTATCCCCCCCGAGACGGCGTTTACCGTCTTCAGTTTCAAATATTTTCTTTCATCCTATTGGATTTAGCAATGTTCTTTTGAATCTCGTGCCATCCTGATATTCGAGAGATAAGCCTGGTACAGCAGTACAAGCGAGGCAAGTTGTGCGGTGCAGCAGAGTACACGCATCTTGAACAATCGAGGACATGTTTTTACCTCCCAATACTCTCCAGTAGTGAATTTATGGCGTGTGCTAACTATACCATGTTTTGGGGGAATTCTTTTTACCACGATCATTGTTATGGCTGCCCAAGGGGACGGAAACCATACATTACTGCATGAATATTGCCATAAAACTCCATCGATACAGCCATAGGGAACACCTTTGCTAGGGAATTTTTTCTTATATCTAAGCTGGACACTCCCCTTAACAATGACTGGTTAGAGTTGAGGTTGGATCACGACCACACAGCGTTCACCATGTCTTGAACAGTAAATTCGGCCACGTAAGCTTCCAGCTTTTGTCGAGCTACAGGACCTGGTGGAGTCGTGTGCAGGTATGATTAACTGGCTAGGGATACTGAGTGGAGTAACGATACACGGCTCATTATCCTCACTGGTAAAGCATATTAAATTTATGCTCGTTTCCATAGCAGAGGACCAATTTCGACTTAAAATGCAAGATTTGATGAAGGCTTGGTATTTGATGCGAATGATTTTGAAGTTTCATGTGGGATATTTCTTTTAGTTGAAAGCCATTTCACAAATTGCTTTATTAAGCTACCGAGTAGGTGTATTGTGCGAGAGGTCACGAGTAGTTGACCCCCACTGTCTCCCGAGGTTACTCGTGGAGAGTTTCAGGTCTTAAGTAAACCTAAAATTACTTGAGCCGGTATATTCTATTTAGGCCATTTGGGAGGGATGTGTCAAATAACTCATAAAATTGTTGAAATCGCCCAAGAACACTATCGGTTATGCACTAAAAGCTGTAGGTGATGTGAACTACAAATTAACCCAGTAGGGAAGTGGTACGAAACAGGGTTTGTTAAGGTTAGATCCAAGTTTATTGTACAAGTACGTAGGTTATATAACTAAACTCGCACAAAATTAGAGATTATTCCTCGTAATCTTCCGCCAAATGCTTCCTTAACTGCCCACGTGACCAAGGTAGGATGGTTATCCTCTGGCTGAAGCTGGATTTTATCGAGAGCTGGACTCAATTCATCCCGCCGCTGAAACATGGCCTGACGTCGCTCCAGATAGATCTCTAATGTCTGAAACAAACAAGTAATCTAGAGTTAAATATAGAAATCAACTCGATATCAAATTGTCACATACAGAGAAATAATTCACCACATACACAAATATATCCAAAAGTTTATCAAATCTAAATAATTCTCAACAAAACTTTTTTTTTTAACCAACACAAGATATATTTATACTCAAGTAAATTTGTAACTGCAGTTGAAGAATGATGAGATGCATTTCCTTCCGAGGTTATGATCAGTCCTGACCTCCTGCCACAGCTTTCGGAGTATTTAAGGACGGCAGTGGTGGGGGGGGCGGGGGGAACTTTTGATTTAGGCGGGAAAATCTTAACTAGGCTAACCACCTCATCACAAGTGTTTAAGACATTTCATTTTTTTATAATTGTTCTATAAAACTTCTCTATGTCTTGGGGATTTATCGCCTTTCTATTGCTAATTTGACTATTTTTTTTCTATTTATAACTTTGTAACTTTTCACTATTGAGATTAATGAATGTGGTGTTACCGGGAGTTAAACAGGCGTAACAACCATTAGCGGCTTTACTGTGGTGTCTGTGTGTCTGGCCGTCCATTCGTCATGTTATATTTATCAAAACTTCAAAAACCAGATCACAATTGACTTTTATGTGAAAGATTATGAATAAAAAACTATCAAAGTTTGAAGTTTCTCTACATTTGTCACTTTCACATAAATACACATCTTAGTCTCTAGGTCACTTATAATAAGCTCATTTAAAAATTCAAAGTCTTTAAGGTTCGTTATAAAATAAACTAATTCAGTAAATGTCTGGCTGGGTTCCTTCTATACATTCCTAAATCTACTATAGAATTCGTTGGCCTCTTTAACAGTGTAAGGAACGGCCTTTATCCTTTCACGCAAACCATAGACTCTCAGAAGCCTTATTTGACAACATCGTGACAAGTATTGGTAAAAGAGGAATAAAAATGGTTCAACTTCACACTGAATGTAAATACAAGTTTCACCCTTTAAGTAAACCAGGCATTATTTAAGTACTCCAGGCAGTATATAAGTGCCACCAACATATGGGCTTTACTAACATACAGTATTGTTAATGAATGTGGTGAGAATACTTCAAAGTTTGTAGTTATGTAATATATCTTTAATTTGCTTTAGTTTCTGTAAGAGGTAGGCTATAATTTACTGTAGTGCCCCAAGAACGAAGGAACATTTTCTTTCTTGATAAATTACTGAAATCGTTATTTTTGAGTTATTTCACACCAAAAACTCATTTTATTTTCACGGACTATTACATTTTTATATAGTTTTATGTAAATCGTAATAAATGATTATTCAAATGTCGGTTTTATATATTCAAAGTAAAAAAATAATAAGAAATTATATGGAGGTGAGCGCCATCTATGAGTTAACAGCGTTACTAAACCTTCATCACGGGGTACAGAGGAGAGTTTCTCGTCTGGTGGTTCTGGAATCAATCGCCAGCTGGAGCCACAAGACAGAGGAAGAAGATGGAGGACGGATCATGTCTACGACTATCTGACTGCCCTGAAAATTTCGGCTTGAGGCATCGGTAAGACATTTATTCATAATATGATATCATATATTTAACATTAATAATACTAAGTAGTTGTTGGAGAATTATTATGGTTAGATAGAGTGTATTTAATGGTTAATTTAGTTAATTGTGTTGGGTCATTTGGTGGAGGTGGCGACACTGTATTGGTATATTTCCATTTGTTGCCACTGTACGACATCAAAGTTTAAAGTATGTATTTCCGGTGGTTTTTGATGTTATGAACGAATTTGATCTTCATTTCTGTTGCTAATCAATAGTTTTGAGATAAGCCCCTGGTAAATTTTTATAAGTGGACAACTGTAGAGTATTTGTTGATCAATGTGTTGTTCCGATGGTTTAGACAATGTTAAGACACTAGGTAAATATTCGTCAAGCGGTTGTCCTCGGGTTTTGTACGAGAATAGTTTTTGTCGAGATTTTTCGGTGTTGTACTCAAATGTGAAGTTTTCTTTTGTAAAGTAACGTGTTGTGCAAGAAAAGAATTTTAACAAACTGCCAATTTGTAAAAAAAATAGAGGTAAAATTTGAGTAAAACACCAAAAGTACCCCAAAAACTAATTCTCATACCAAAGGAACCAACGAACCTACCTAACCTAACTTACGAGGAGGAGACGACCGAGTAAGGGAGGAGTATAACCTAGGGTAAACGTGGCGGGACCCTGCGGACAGCTGACGGATCAATATTAACCCACTTTTCTTCTATGACGTTTCCCTCACAAATGACTTAATTATACCAGGGAGGTTAGGTAATTTGCGAGGGAAACACCGTAGAAGAAAAGCGTCGTAACGTTGTGTAAACCGTCGGAAAAAACCACATCGGTCAACAAAAACTCCATGGCTGTCCAGTTGTAAAAAATCCTCCCCCCCCTCCTCCCCTTCCCATTCAAATCTTAAACTGGAGGTAAGAGAATCCGGTAACAAGTGTTCAAAACACCTAAAAACCCACCGGGAAACAGTTTGGGATTTAACCTAACCTGTGTAACATAGACTAAACTAACCTACATAATACAGTAAAATGTTAGATGTCTCGCTTAAAGGTAATTTGCAGCAGAAATGCCACCGAAGATTGAAACTATTTGTAAGAAATTCCCGATATTCGTTTAGTGATGACAATTGAAATAACAAATATAGTTTTTCCTATTGTATTTCGTGTTTTGAGGAATTGCGACCTTCATTTCTGTCATAAATGAGCCGCTATGGAGATGCAGTATGACCTCTTCAATTACCGGGACGAGTTTGATTATGTTGGTTTTTTTCAACGGTTCTTATTACACGTATAGTATTTTTGGAGGTTACAATTACTTGAAGCTGATACTGTATAATGTGACATATTATAACCAACCAAGGAGACCTACCTAACTTCCTAGCCAGGGGATGGACCTGCCATATTAAAGAAAGTACTTATTTTGATATCTGGTACCAACGAAAGTAAGTTTGTCGAACCGTCACGGTGTAATTGGTATTTTTGTGGAGGCGTAAGTACGCTCGGACTCGGCGGGTCGGTTATAAACGGACACGACGGGAGGAATTCGGCATATTTTTTGTAGGAGTCTTTACGGTAAATGTGTAATTATTCGCCACAGAGCACGGAGACGTCATTTTAGTGTCGGGTGCTCGGTTTTTCGGCGTTTTCCCCCCATTTGCCCCCAACCTTCATCCCCTGCCCACTACAGGTGATTTATGATCATAGAAAAAAAGGGGCTTTTAATTAATATAAAAAGTTGTGGCCTCTTAAAAAATATTGTAATAAGAACATCTATGGAAAATATGGACCAAATCGAAGAACTCTTTCTGGTGGTAGTGGTGTTCTCAGAAAAGAAACACTGAGAACCTGACCTAACCCATAACACTCAAATAATATATAGTATTAAGGTTAGGGTACTTTATTTAACCGATGATAAAAGAAAGAGTTATTTCATTGTTTTTTGTGTGTGTGCCATAGTTGTATGTTTTGTGAGCGAGATATTTCTTGTCTCGAACATTTATTGGTCACGAGGGAAGCTGGAATACGTTTAAAAAACAAATTTGCACTTGCACGAATCTCCCAATAGATTTGAACCGTCCTCTGATTGGTCACAGCAGATTATGCGAGATTGAAACGAAATAAATTTAAATATTAAAATGCGCAAAAGTTTTTGCCCGTCGGTGCAATAAGAATACGTCAATATTGTCGTGGTTACGTCCACAAAATGCAACCGCGATCGGTCGCTTACGAAACCGGGTACAGTATGCCGAATCATTTTTTGTGCGTCCGTCACAAAAGGTTAGGTGGGGTTTTCAATTTTGTTTAACCTCTCGTGTTGAAAGTCTAACTCGGTTTGGAAGAACGAGTGTTGTTGTTGCTAGTGTTAAAGGAAATAAAGGTCACATGTAGAATTTAATATAAAAAAATACAAAATAAAAACGAGGAAAATTGTAGTTTCGGCTAAGCGCCTACTTTCTGAAGGTCGGACTCATTCTAAACACATCAAAAACCATTGGAAAAAACCCAATTTCAACCTAACCTAACCGATTTGAGTAATCGGTTTCTCCGTGTGGCATTAAACAAACGAGTGCCTCTATTATAAGTATACGAAGTTGTTATTTGACCCGGATTGTGGGCCAAATAACCGTCGGCTAACGGACCGGAACCTGCGGGGATCGTTTACAATTTTAATGGGATTGTAGTCGGGACGATTGTGGACATTAAACGAGTCATTACACTACGGTATTATTTAATTGTAGAATTTTCCGTGGCCAAAAGTATTTAGTTTCATTTTAGATCTCGGTCAAATAACCGGCGGTTATTGTGCCGAGTACTGGTCAAATGACCCCTGCCTATAATATAATAGTTTTACAGTGTTGTGTATTATAGTATAGCTATTGGTCACATTTCCAGGAAGCTTCAAGGACCAACAACACATCTCCATGGCAAGTTCAGACTCGACCGTACAGACCCGTCCGGTCTCGTCTACGACTCCTTTAACGGAGAAACGCCGCCGACCCGCGATGGGCGAGACCGACGTCGTCACTTCACGTCGTGTCGTCGGGCGTACAAGCCGAGTGTATTAGAGGACTTGTATTTAAGTGCCCTTGTACAGTAATCCTATAAAAGTGGTCATTTATGTAAATATTTGTGTGTCTAAAGTCACGTTCCATTGGTGTCGGTGGTACGGGACCTCTCAAAACTATGACCCAGATTCACATTTTCCATCCCATACCAAATTTTGAATGTGTGTTTATTTAGTTTTTCTCTAGAGTACAGTACAGTATATTAATAACTTGGAGGTTCGTTTTCAAAACATAATTTCATTGTTTATTTATTATGATACTCTACAAATACTGTGCTACTTTTTATACTTGTATGATTCAGTTGAGTTAATTAAACTTTTATTTGCATAGTTTTGAAGAAGACTACAGTACATAGTTTAAATGTTTACATATCAACAGTGCCGTACTTTATCTTAAGTAATATTTTCAGGTACTTTCTCCATCACTGCCTAAAGTGGACCTGAACTTTTGGACCTGATGTGAACTAGAATGAAGTTGGCTGGATATAAAGTTAACTGGACCTGCAGCGAAGTGGACCTGAAGCTAACTGGACCTCAAGTAGTCTGTGGTATTGTATTTAATATTGTTGTGGTACTTTGAATGTTAGGAAAGTTGTACAGGCATTCCCCAGTTTGTAAGAGTACTGTGTCTTATAAAAACCTATGGTAAATCGAATCAATATTCCTATAGACTCACATTATAAAAGCCAAGATACTTTTCTTCAATGAAAAAAGTTCCCCCTCAATTATGTAGTCTCCAAAAAGTATTGATAGATTTTCTAGCGGTAAAATTTGAAACGCTGGGTGAAAGACTTTGATGTGATCTCCAGTGCATCAGCATAAATTGGTACAGGTACATCCGGTCACTATATGAGCAACAGCCATAGACGGCGGGTAGCGAGAGAGGGAGTCATCCTCGCGTGACATACAACCGTACAGTATATGCTTTACTATAACAAGAAATCCATTAAGCTATATTAATGTATGTATCGTGCTGGGTAGAAGCAAGGCCCCAACCGAGGATTACAATAATATCAAAATATACATTAAACGGAAGAGTTTCGGAACGTCACGAGCGAGACCGAGACGTACCTCGGGGCAGACATTTCACCATTGTGTCGTAGTAACCGTTTCATTCGTACCGAGTTGCATAATATAGTTGTTGACGACACGTATGATTTATGAGGAGTGAGTAAGCAAATAGTAGTTGATATTAGAGTGAACGGCTACAGCAATATACACTTTATTGGTGTAAATGGGATCTGCCAAATATTATTGATACGTAAATTGTATCGGTTTAATGCCAAAATAAGATTTTAAATCGGCGCGTCGCCGGTCGTTTCGTGTCGGGTAACCCATCGCGATGCCCGTGGGTTCACTCGCCCCAGACTGGCAAGTTATCCGAGCATTACGTATGCCCTCGTCGCGAAGGCCAATAATAGCACCTCTCGTCCCGTTGTGTCTTTCTAATAATTCCTCTGTTCATTTGATGTGTGATCCCATTATTGACCGGCACGGCGTTGGCGTCCATTTACGACACACAATGCGAATTTGCATAATGCGCGATCCGAATCCTCGTAGGATTTGCATCTTTCAAAAATACGTACAGTCGTGCGCCGGTTAACGTCCAACCGAACAACGTCCGATCGCACATACGTCCGTGGCCTCTCCAAAAAACACTTCCGTGACGCCTGCCGGACCACCACTCCACGACCCCCCGACGGAGACACGACGATCCTTCCCGTACTGGCCAGATATTATGTGTTAAAGGAATATCCTTCCTTAGGCTTTAGTAAGCATTTTCCTCCAGGTGTAATGTTAACCTACATCTATTGAGGATAAAATCTTTCACCTACAAATTGACAATAAGACATTTGCTGTAATCAGACATATCTAGTTGGCTCAACATTTGCAACTCCAGTTGCAATTGGGGTTGCAATTTCAAATTCTGTGTCATTACTAAGGAATAATGAAGTTTTTGGTGCACTGCACTCTAAGATTAAGAGAAAACGGATTCGCGCGTCCCGAAGCGAGAGAAAACGGACTCCTACGACGGGGGACGCGAGGACTCACACGTGCCACTTATACTGATGGACTTGACACTCACTCACTTGACAAGTTTTACTAACCATTAGTTGTCTAGTGAATTTAGTCATTATTGTACAGTACAAGTACACTGCAATACAGTGGTCCCTCGGTTAACAATGGAACAAACCTGTACTGTACATGTACTAAATGATTACGGTACTTAAATTGTTATGTCTATTGCAAATATAGATTGTTTATACAGGTATTCAAATACCATCTTACAAGAATCCCAGCAATGTAAGTTATATTCACCCAGGTCGTTTGGGTGGCAAATTAAGAGAAGAGCCGTGTCACTCTCGAGTAACGATAAATAAACACGCAAGCCTTCAGCGCCAACTGTCAAATCTTATGTCAAATAAATAAACAAACACCAGACACTGTCACCTCAACCTCCTCCCCCCCCCCTCTTCCCACGCTCGCTGGCTACCTCTCTCCTTGTGTTCCCAGACACAACATTGGTGATAATTTTATGCTTTAAGGTGTTTATTTTATATGATATCTCAGACTAAAGTTAGGAGATTACAATTTGCATTGCTGGAATCCTTGCAAGACAGCCAATAATTTGAATATAAACGTCATATATTTTGCTCAAGATATAAAAATTGTAGTACATTAGTATACAATACTGTAGTACATTTTATAATATAAAGTTTATCAACTGTATTTTTGGGTAGATTTACATAAATTTCTTCATTTATTGTCGTCCATTTACATGCACAGACCATACTAAAAGAAACGTAAAAGAAATAAATGACGTTAGTGCAAAGCTGGAGTGTACATGTACTTATTTGATTACGGTACTAAAATTGTTATGTCTAGTGCAAATTACAGCATGTCTATATTCAAATTAATCAGTATGTTACAAGAATCCCAGCAATGTTAATTATATTCTCCCAAGTCATTTCACTGTCTTTTTATAAGAGAGAAGCTTAGTCACTTAAGAACTGATAAATATACATGCGTTAGACCTGGGCCTGTGCCAACTGTGAAACCACGCCCCCTCGCTCTCTCCCTCTGCCCCATCTGCCCAGCTTTGCTGGAATCCTTGTAAAACAGTGAATAATTTTAATATAAACGTTATGTAATTTGCATAAGAGATAAAAATTAATCACCTGTATCACATTACAGTAGTGATTTAAGAGTAAAAGCGTATATAGTATTCCACATACACGTAAGTATAGATACAAAGTTTATGCGACGATCGGACAACGTCCATTTCGGTTAACGTCACGTTTCCAAGTACGTATCTAGGACGTTAACCGGCACATGACTGTATACTCATTCGTGCTCAAAGGTGTAGATGTAGAGTTAGCAACAATTCTGAAACGGGTTGTGTAACATTGCTCGGAAAGCCTCGATTGCCAATATAGGAGCTTCTCGACAGACAAATGAGTCGAGTTCCCGAGGCTTGTTCGCGAGTCCAACTTAACTCTTGTAGATAATGATATACAGTACAGTAGAGCAATATATACCCAGCACATTACGGTACGGTCGGTCTCCGACTTACGACGGGGTTAGGGACCGGCGACCGGGTCGCAAGGCAAAAATAATACTGTACATAGAAAATCTAAAATGGGTGTCTCTTTTTTCTTCTCGGCACCACGAGAACTCTCACTCTTACGCTTGCCAGCCATTTTAAAGGGAATTACAAACAAAAAATTTTCAGTACACGGCGCAATCACTAACGCTGGGATTTGAAAATAGGTAATTTGACAAAATTTTGGTACGACTGAGGCGGTCGTAAGTCGAGGAGTAGCTGTATTTAACTAATGATAACAGAAAAAGTTATTTCTTTAATGTTTTGTTTTTTTGTGTTTTAATGTTTTGTCAGTGAGTCACTTCTTGTCTTCAACGTTTAGGTCACGAGGGAGGCTTAAATATATCTAGAAAAAAAAGTTTTTGCTCCTGCGTAAACATCACAATAGATTTGAACTGTCCTCTGATTGGTCACAGCAGATTATGTGAAATTCGAGTGAAAGATTTAAATAATAAATCCCGCAAAATTGTGTTTCTCCCGGCAGCATATTGTTAACTGGGTTTATGATCGGGGTCGAAGTTTCTGTTCTACGTCATTACGCTTCAAGTAAAGTAAACGCTTATTGATTTTGCACGTAAAATCAAGATGTTGATTAAGTTTTTTGCTCATTCACGCAAGAAGTCGGGTAGTTTAGATTAGGTTAGGTAGGGTTTTCAATGTTGTTTTTAACCCTTCATGTTTGGAAGATTCATTGTTTTTGTTAGTGTAAGGAAATTAGATCATATTTATTTATTAGAAAACAAGTATATATAAAAACGGGTAAATTATCGCTTCGGCTGCATACTATCCGGCTGCTGTCATAAAAGTTCAAAATAAATAAAAACCATTGAACAAGATAATTTCAACCTACCTCAACTCATTTGAGTAATCAGTTTGTCCAAGCGGTAGTAAACTAATAAGTAACGTTTATTTTAATACAAAGTTGTTATTTGGACTCGGATTCGGGGCCAAATAACCGTCGATTATTTGACCGACCCGCGGGATCGTGATGATTTTAGGGATTGTAGTCGGGATGGTTAGACATTAAACAAGTCATTGCATTGCGGTAATATTTAATTGTGGCACCTCTGTGGGCAAAAGGATTTAGTTTTACTTTTAGATCTCGATCAAACAACCAGTGGTTATTGTGCTTGTACTGTCAAATAATCCCTGCTTCAAGGACCAACAAATACACTTCAGTATGACAAGTCTAGACTAATTGCAGACAGACCCGCCTCGGGTTCAGACACGTATTTCGCTAATCTAAAACCGAGAAACGCCACGACTCGTAGGGAGGGAGACCGTACCGTCGCTACTTCACGTGGCCGTGTCGCCGGGCGCATGGCTTGCGTATTAGGAGACCTTGTATTTGCCATGCCCTTGTAATGCAAAATCCCATAAAAGGGTCATTTATGTAAATGTTTGTGCCCAAAGTCACGTCCATTGGTACTGTGGTACGTGGGACCCTCTCAAACTAAGGCCCAGATTCACATTTTCATCCTATACCAAATTTTTTGAATGTGTGTTTATTTCTAGTTTTTCTCTAGAGTACAGTACAGCATATTAATAACTTGAGGTTTGGTTTCTCAAAACATAATTTCATTGTTTATTTATTATGATACCTACAAATACTGTGCGCCTTTTATACTTGTATGATTCCGAAGTTGAGTTTAATTAAACTTATTTGCATAGTTTTGAAGAAGACTACAGTAATATAGTTTGTAAATGTTTACATATCAACAGTGCCGTGACTTTTATCTAAGTAATATTTTCAGGTACTTTCTCCATCACTGCCTAAAGTGGACCTGAAACTTTGGAATCTGATGAACTAGAATGAAGTTGGCTGATATAAAGTTCACTGGACCTGCAGTGAAGTGGACCTGAAGTAGTCTGCAATTGTATTTCTTATTGTTGTGGTACTTTGAATGTTAGAAAGTTCTACAGGCATTTCCGCTTATAAGAGTACCTGTACTGTGTCTTATAAAAACCCATAGTAAATCGAATCAATATTCATAGACTCACATTATAAAAGTCAAGATACTTTTCACAATGAAAAAGTTCCCTCAAATCATGTAGTC